TTGCCTGTCAGCAGCTAGTTGCAGTGCGGTTCTGGGGCCCTGCACCCCTATTTCCTTGACAGCTGGCAGGCTTTGTGGCCGCAGGAAGGCATAGCAGTCAGGCCTGCAGTAGTTTCCCTCCCCCCACCCTGTGCCCCAAGAGAGACCCAGTTGCACAAGCACCCATGACACATTTTGCCTGTCAACAGCTAGAGGTGCAGGGCTCCAGAACTTGAAAGCTGGCAGGCTTTGTGGCCTCAGCAGGGGCTAGCAGGCCTGCAGCTTTCACCCTGCTACGCCTTAACACACACAGTGTCACCCATGTCATGAGATTTGCTTGTCTGCAGCTTGAGGTACAGTTTCCCCCAAACCCCTGTACCTATCTCCTCGAAACTTGGCAGGCTTTATGGCCTCAGCAGGGGCTAGCATGCCTGCAGTTTTGACCCCACTGTGGCTTGACATGTACACGTGACATGAGTTTTGCTTTCAAGACTTGGGGGTGCAGTTTCCCCGAACCCCCTGCACCTATCTCCTTAAAACTTGGCAGGCTTCATGCCCTCTGAAAGGGCTACCATTCCTGCAGGTTTCATAAATTTCATAGACATTAGGGCTGGAAGGGACCTTGGAACATCACAGAGTCCAGCCCCCTGCCCCAGGGGGAGGAAGTCAGCTGGGGTCATAGGATCCCAGCAAGATAAACATCCACATTTCTCTTGAAGGCATTAAAAGTAGGTGCTTGAACCACCTCCAATGGCAGACTATTCCAGACCTTGGGGGCTCGGACAGTAAAGAAGTTCTTCCTTATGTCCGGCCTGAAACAGTCTTGGAGGAGTTTATAACAGTTCGACCTTGTCATCCCTTGGAGTGCTCTGGTAAACTAACGTTCCCCCAGATCCTGGTGAACACCCCTGATAAACTTATAGGTGGCCATCAGATCGCCCCTGAGCCTGCGCTTTTCTAGGCTGAAGAGTCCCATAGCTCTCAGCCTCTCATTGTAAGGTCTGTTTTCCTGACCTCTGATCATGCACGTGGCTCTTCTCTAGACTCTCTCAAGCTTCTCCACATCCTTTTTGAATTGTGGAGCCCAAAACTGGACGCAGTACTCCAGCTGTGGCTTCACCAAGGTTGAGTACAACAGGAGAATGACATCCTGGGATTTGCTTGAGAAGCATCTATGCATGCAGGCCAGCGTTTTGCTTGTTTTACTAGCTGCAGCATCACACTGAAGGCTCATGTTCATCTTGTGGTCAATCATGAACCATAAGTCCCTTTCATCCGTAGTGCTAGCCAGCGTAGCATTGCCGAGCCTATAAGTATGCTGCAGGTTTCTCTTCCCAAGGTAGAGAACCTTGTTTCATCCAAATCAGGCCAAAAATGACAAAATTATAGGCTGTTTCAACCTTCCCCCTTATAACCTACGGGTGAAATGTTGAAACAGCATCGAAACGGCAAAATGTTTCGACTTTTCTCGTTTTGTTTTGAGGCTGTTTCGACCATATCTCTTCCGTTTCGATTTTGCTGTTTCGACCTCAAAACGAGTCAAAACAGCATCAAAACAAAAAACTGGCAGTGAAATTTCACACAGCCCTAATGTGCATCCATGCGGCATTTATTGGTAACAGCATCAGACAAAAAAAGTAGACTGCCAATAATGTTAATTTTCCTGTTATCAGTGCCAATCTGATATGCGACTGATATATTGGCACACCTCTAGCTATTATCAGTAGTGAAAGTTCAAGTCAGAAGAGAGGGTGTTGTCTACCAACACTGAAATTTACATAAGTTATAAAATATTTCCTTATTTTATAATATGTAATCTTGGTTTTTTAAATAATGTTGTCTTTTGGTATTTATATAATTGATTAATAACTTAATAAAATAATAAAAATAATTTGTGCGCTAAGCCAAATCCTGCTCATCTTATTCGCAAAGGTCCCACTGAATAAGAGTACGGCGAGCAAGGCAAGCAGGATTTAACTATCATGTATGGGAAAATATCAAGACCAAAAATAATCAAAAGGTCCAATAAGGAATATCATTCAAAATAATTTTAAAAGGTGGCACTACTTGCATAGTTTGCTTATAGGTCACTTAAACAGGTTTCATTTCCTGAACAAACTACAGGTTCACAAACATCTGCATTTTTTCAGCCTAATAGAAAGAAAAGAAAAGAAAAAAAAAATCAGTAATTTTTTTTTTATTCTTTACAAAAGCTACATAAGCAACTATAATTAAGAGTTTTAAAAGATTTTGGTATTACCTTTACAACATTAATTGCATGATTATTCGCCAACCATGCAACTAAGCTTTGACTAACTTTAACTAACTAAGTGCAAGAATGATTTATAAAGATTAGTTAAAAGACACCATTATTCCCAAAACCATCTTGCTTCTGTTAGGAAACGCAATCCATATCAGTGGGTAAAGGAAATACTTTGGAAAATTCTCCTGTTTTCCATTGGCTAACGTAGGTTTGAGGGTAAATTTCTTACTAGTGGCTCAATTCTACAATGAGTGATCTGCCTATATCAAGAGATGGAAATCTAGCTCTTTTTTTGTTTGTTTGTTTTTAGGAAGGTTGGGGTAGAGAGGCCTCAGACATGTGGACTGTCAGTAGTCCAACACACACAGATAAATGAGCGGAGTATAAGAAAGGTTCATGTAATCCAGGGGTCAGCAACTCCCAGCACGCATGCTGAGCATGGCACGCAAGGCCATTTTGGTCAGCATGGCTAGTCCCGGCTCTGGGCAGTTGCTGCCAGCGACAGAGCCCAGGCTGCTCCCAGCAGAGCTTGCAGTGTCCCAGCTGCCTGCTGGGAGCAGCCCAGGCACCTGGCTGACAGTAGCTACCCAGAGGCAGGGCCGGCTGCAGCCGGGAAGCTGCAAACAGGTGCGCCAGGCTCCACAGCTCCGGCATCAGCTACATGCTGGCGGCGACTACGCACACATCTCGGGGCGGGCTGCACTGCCCTGCTGTCTGCCCCAAGGTGTGCGCGCAGTCACCACCAGCATGGAGCTGATGCCAGAGCTGTGGAGCTCGGGACAGCTATTTGCTGCAGCTGCCCAGAGCCCAGTCACCAGCTCTATGCCGGGAGCTGGGGAGAGACCAGGGTTGTGCTGCCTCAGGCCCCTCCCCCACAGCCTGCTCCAAGGCATGCATGCATGTGCTAGTACAGAGCTGATGCCAGGGCTCCAGAGCCCGGCACAGCTGTTTGCCGCCTCCCGGCTGCAGCCAGCCCCAGCTCTGGGTAGCTGCTGCCAGCCGGGAGCCCGGGCTGCTCCCAGCAGGTAGCTGAGATGCTGCGAGCCCTGCTGAGAGCAGTCCAGACTCCAGCAGCTACCCAGAGCAGGGGTAGCTGCTGACAGCCACAGAGCCCGGGATGAGAGGCAGGGGCAGCAGGGCTGGGGGGCAAGGGGCTTTGGGTGCGGGGCAAGGGCCACAAGCAGGGCATCCTGCCATGTACCCCCTTCCTTCATTTTGTTTTTCTGGCATGCCGGCACTCTGGCACCTTCCAAGGTAGGCACTGTGGTGTTTTTCAGCACTCCAGCCAAAAAATGTTGCCTGCCCCTGCTGTAATCTGTCTTATCACAGAGATATTTTCACATGTAGTATTTTGTGTGTCAACAACAGCTACATGGGTCTGTTTCAGCACCAGTTGTTATAGAACATATTTTTTAAAGAACAAGCAGTACCCATTGTCTACTCATGCTGACTAAAACCCTATCTAAATCGTAATGTCCAAGTTCTGCAAGTTTGATATAAGGAGGAAAGAGAATCTTCTTGTCACAAGGTAACAGTAAGAAGTTGTGACCCCTAATATATCACACTAGAACGTATGGAAGAATTCTGCTTGGAGCACTTATGGTTGCAACCAACAGCTTGGAAACCATATCTCTAGCATAACTGATGCAGACAGCCTGCCTTTTAGGAGAAGAGTTGAAGTTATGCAGTAGGCTTTTAAGTATGAAAATGGAAGATGACATATTACAAAATGAGCTACTTAACTGATGATCATTTTTAAAGAAAAGTTAGCTCACATGCTTATCTATCTCAGGCTGCCTCCCATATCTGTCCAGGTGCAAAAGGCCCAATTGTTTCTTACCTAGCTGGCAAAATCTCCAGCTTTGCTTCAACAACTCCTACAGTACAGTTACACTGTCAATGCAGAATTCTTTGGCACATCAAAAACTGGAAGGTGGGACAAATAAAAGAAATGCAATATTAAAATAAATAGGCTGCGATAATGATTACATTACCTATTTTAATATAAGGAAATCTGCCACAACTTACCTCTGTCACAACATGGCATCAAAAAACTAGAGAAAGTTTGAAGCTGAATTTTTCTCCAACTTTCTGCAGAAAAACACAGTCGTTGCTCTAACAGCCTGTTATCTACTGTCAACGCAAGTAGGTTGCACTCCTTTACTGGGACAGATCCACTAACTGCAAGTCTACTGGGCTTCCTTTCACTTCCAAACCTCTTCTGCATTCATTCCATTCTCCTTCCACATGCACACACCTGAACTGATTAGTCCCAGGGGTTAGGCTTTGTTCCCAAATGTACATTTTCTGTCTTTAGTAGGGGTGTGCAAAACAGGCCCTATTCGATTTGGATTCAGCCCAAATTGGGGACAGTGATTCAATTAATTGATTCTGATTACTGTCCCCGATTCAATTCGGCTGAACCCAGACCTGAAGATTTGATGCCGATTCAGAGAATCAGTGGTTCGGCCATAGACACAGCTTTAAATGTTTTTTCTACATACCTCGAGGTACCAGGCATGGCTTGTGAATGATGCAATGTTGGGGCGGATGGAGCATGGGGGGGAGGGAGTCTGCATGCTCCACGGCAAACCTGGAAGTGGACCAGAAGTGGCTTCTGTGGGATGCTCCATCCGCCCCACCATCTCAGTGTTCACAAGCCACCTGCTACCTAGAGGTACGTAGAAAAAACATTTAAAGCTATGTCTATGTCTGAATCGTCGAATATTTCCGAATCTCTCCGAATTGATTTGGAGGATTCTCATTCAATTCACAGAGATTAAAGAGTCCTCTGATTCGATTCAGATTCAGAGATTCAGCCATCGAATCATGCTGAATCTTCGCCGAATGGAATCAGGGACAGAACCTTTGCACAACCTTAGTCTTTAGTTCTATACATCATTCAGATGTGAAATGCATTTGCAAGTGGCATCCAAAGTATTTACAATTAGGATTAATATAAACAACCCATTAAGGCAGAGGTGCTTAACTTCTGTCCCATGGGCCAAATGTGGCCTGTGTAGCCTTGGAATCCAGCCCACAGCACTCCCAAAGGGTCAGGAAATTTGGTGGCAGAGGAGTTAATACTGCCACTCCTCCCATTGCCAGCCAAAATCTCAAGTGTCCTGCAGTGGGTTGGAGCCAGACTACAACCCTCACCCTGCATGGCTGGATCAAGGTCAAACAATCCCCTTCCCTGTGTGTGGCTGGGTTGGGACCAGGCCATGCCCCCTTCCCTACGCACAGCTGGTTTGGGGCTGGCCCCTTCCCTCCCCTCTCCCCACCATGGGTCTGGGCCACACCCCCTTCCTTCTGCCTGGCTGGGACTGGTCCATGCTCCCTCCCATTGAATGCTGGTTTGGGGCCAGGCCATGCCCCCTTCCCTTCTGCAGAGCTGAGCTTTGGCCCCCTGCCCGACAGAGCTGGATGGGTCCCTGCTGCACCTGCCCAGGGGCCAGATTGTGTCCACCAGGTGGATCCAGCCCATAGGGACCAGGTACTCCCCATCTGGCTGAGAGTTCTCATTAGCTAACTGGGATCTAGATTCTTAGCTATGCCAAATTAAAGTGATAAGCAATGCTGAGGAGGGGTATTACAAAGAACTAAGTACAGCTATCTGACTCCAATTCTGGATCTATCTCCTTTCTTGTACCCCCAGTCCCTAGAAAAGCTGAGCAAGCTACCAACTCCTCCTAGCAGCCATGAGGCAGTCATGCCCTCTTTGTGGAGTGCTACTGTACACCTAGCTATACTGGCTCAATGGTTTAAGATCCCTTAGCCCTAGTACAGTTGTTTTCAACCTGTGGCCTGCGGACCCCTGGGGGTCTGCCGACTATGTCTAAGAGATCCACAAAAGATAACTATGGTCAATTAAAAGTACATGAATACCCACATTTACAATTCAAGGAGGTCTGTACCTCCATTCAACATTTTTTAGGGGTTTGCAAATGAAAAAAGGTTGAAAACCACTGCCCTGTCATTCAGAAAGGACAAGACACAGTGGAGAATCCAGTCTGCTGTCTGGAAACACACTCTCTGTACTACAAGACAAGACTTTTTATTTTAAGGGACCTCATATTCTGACAAATGCTCCTAAATCCACAGATTGCAATTGATCTTTATAATAAACAATACTGTTGTAACAATTTCTGTTGTATAACACTTCAGTACTAAGGTGTCAGTGATCCAGCCCATGGAGCTGTCATCCAGTTTGGAGGGGCTGGAAATGTTGGGATGTGGCATGTAGAGGTGGAGTCCACTACCAAATATTAGTGTACAGAATCCTATTAGAGATATGTTTCAGTAGCTGTAGAGCAAGCAATGGTTAAATTAATCCCCACACCTCCCTCAGCCAACACAGTGACTGGGGCACCCACAACAGTTAACACAGCTGCTGTCTGCCTTGCCACCAGAGGTGGTTTTGGATCTGGTCCACTATGCTCCTTGCAGTCTAGATCCAGACCAAAACGAACCACATGGTCTGTATCTGGCCAGGGGTGTAGGGGGGAATGTTAGTGCAAATGTACTAATCTAGACAATGTGATAAAATTTTCTGTCTAGAAATGGTTCTTCTAAATGTAACAATTTAGACACAGTTCAGGTCTCACCTTTTTATTTAGCTCCTACACAACAATACTGTCCCCAATACTATCAGAGTATAAACTCTTCTTTAGATTTAAATTTTCTCAACCAAACTGGAAGTTATGATATAATTTTTTTTTTTAATTAAGGGCAAGTTTTAGCACTGTAACAATGGCATTCATATAAGGCATTAAGGTCCCATGTTTAAGCAGTCAAAAACAATCAGAAAATGATAATGTTAAGGATTCACATTCAATCTTAAATCTAATCCTTTAGTCTGTACCATAACATATACACACAATTACATAGTCACATAACATTTTTTTCAGAGCTGCTTTTCAGTGAAACTGCCCTCCCAAGAGCAGTGAGCACATATATCTGCATACACAGGCCAGGTCAGCTTGCCTAGACATAACACAGACTCATCTCTTAGAACACATGAGAAGGAGCCACTCTCCTTTGCATCTCCACAGCTACAAGAAGCTCAGGACTACTGAAGTTCTTCAGCTCCTCAGAAGCACAGCATTTATTCTGACAAAGCTAAGACCCTTCACCAGCCAAGTGAACAACAAAGCCTAAAGGAAGAGGCTAATTCAAGGGTTCATGAGGGCCTGCAAGGCACAGAAGTAAGTGAGGCATACAGATATAGCTGAGATTATAAGATCTACAGGAGGCCTTCTTTAGATCCCTCATGTGAACATCTGCACAGGACCTCGTACTCAAGTACCATTTCTCCTTACCATCTCACAGCAATTTAAGGGGCTAACTGTGAAGCCAAATCATCAAAACACAACTGAGCAATTTGTCCTTTAAACTAATATTTAACAAGCTAGGCACATAATTTTACATTTGGTCATACAGAAACCAATTTGTTCCAGAACAAGGTTGAGCACTGCTTCAGTGATGATTACTGCTTCCCCATATTTAACTTTTTTTCTTAAAAAACCTTGCACTTTTTTTCCCTCATAATTTGGAAAAGTTATGCTCACAATTAATAACTGGCCACACTGTTTCTGCTCAAACTTCCCATTAAGGAATTACCTTGAACTAAAAAATTTCAACTCACAAGTTGAGCATAAAAGTTTTTTTTAAAAGTGAAAATCGGGATTAGAACAGAAGTTCTCATGCAACTTTAATTAAATAATTGTCACTACCACATAATAAACAGGTGATCAACTCATTAAGTATGACATTCTCTGTGTTAATATTATACCTCTTTACCATCTATCATTTTAGTACAGCTCATTATTTTTAAGTATTTTTAAACTAAGGGGAATCCCTTTCTAAGTTGACCTGCTAACTAAAATCCATTTTTCCATAGTTCTACTGAAACTCATTCTTAGGCCAAGGCTAATATGTATTTCATGTGCAGTTTTATGACATTTTTGTTTCTAGTAAATTTTCATATAAATCATTTGGTTTCAACATATTTTGCATGGCATGTTGCCATCTCTTGCAATTTTATCGTGTTTCTCAGAATCTGTGGTGTTTTCTTAAAGCCCCAGCTTCTGGAGTTATTTATGTAGAAGTTTTATTTCAAACAAAGAAAGTTGTTACTCTTCACAATGGCAGAGAAAGCTTGAAAATGTGACCCAAGTGCATTCTATTAGCCCAGAAACAAACAGGTAACTAAAAAGAGGTCCTAACTGGGCAGTTTTTTAAACAAATCGTTACTTATGGTAGTTTCATTATTTCTGATGTTTAACTCATATATTTTTGAATGATTGAGGTTGGCAATATTGTCACGATAACAGGAACAGCAGGATGTTATTTAGAGGCATAATACTGTGTTAATGAATTAATATATAATGTATACTAGATGCTGGAATGTTAAAAACAGATGGAATGCTGCTAAAAAGTTCTGGATTCTTACATTTTCCACTGAATAATTAAAAGTAAACAAATCTTTGTGATAGCCTGTAACCATTAAGAAAAGAAAAAATATATGTCTAAGCAAGTACAAAACAAAAATGCAGTTCACATGTATGAACACATTAAACTTAAGGTGATGATTTTTCAATATGATGTAACTGTTCTGTTTGTCTCAGAAATCTGTAGCTTAAACATACTTATTAGAAGAGCTGCATTACTAAGAAATTAAATGTAGTGTTGCATGTTTGCAGGCCTGATTTTTCTCTCTAATGCAACATGGCAAACAAGTAATGTAGACTTATGAATAATCTATAATTTTGCCACCAGATATACATGTGCATCTCTTATGCACTTTGCTGAGAGTTCCTTTCATGCATCTGAATATAATTTTGGCTATTAGAAGCTTTTTAAAAATGAAAAATTAGATAAAAATATGAACCATGTAAATAAATAATTGAGGCTAATGAATAATCGAAATTTGTAATTTCTTCCCCTAGACATATGTATGCAATTCCCATTGACTGCATATATCTGAGTGTAGTTTTGGCTATTAGACATATGGCACATAACTTAGCCCAGCATTTTAAAAATAACTAACTAACTAAAAACATGAACTGTGCAAAATACTCAAGGCTAATAATTAAATCAAACTGGATTTTTAAAATATATTACCAAAATGGTTTAATTTGTGATGTAATTTGAATTAGTTATTCAAAATAAAATTCTATTGTCTATACTTTGGTAAGAAACGGAGCTGCTGAAGGAAAGCTTCAATATGAAATACTCTTTACACTAAAACTATATCTAAGCTTTCCTTCCTAAGCAGCCTGTTAGGGTCAAGTATTAGAATCTAATTCTAAATATGGGTTCTTTAAAGGAGTCTCAGGGTGTTCGGCACTCATTTCCCAATCAGCTTCAACTAGAAATGGCTATTTAACACCATTGTTCATAGGCTTTGAAAACCCCAAACTGGACCGCTCATCTGAATTCCAGGAGCACACACAAAAATACTTTACATTAGATCTTTTTACATGATTTGTCAAGCAGCAAAATTTCAGAAGCATTTTGTAAAGGAATTTTATGGAAGGTTGGAAGAGCACCTCTGTATAAGTAATGCATGACAGGAATCACAGACTCGGACAGGCTTTGGCGAGGACGGCAAAGGCAGCTCATTGTCAGAGCAGGCGTTACAGAAAATTTCACCACAGTTTCTACAGTGATGCTAAATAGCAGCAGAGAAACAAAAAGTTACTTTAAAGCATCCACTAAAATGCGCTATATATTTGACAATCAGCCATTATTAAATATACACACCAAAAAATGTTGGAAAGCCATCTTTAAGACTGTATCAGAAACCTAATTTCAGTTTTGTAAAGATGACAGCACAAGCCACCTAAATCACCTACCCACTGTGCTCTACTAAGACAAGCTACACAGTAGGCTGTCCTAGGTGAATAACTACTAAAATATCAAGGCAAAAACACAAACTCTAAGATCTGAATGTGTTCCTCAAGACATGAGAATGCAGCATCACATGCTGTGAAGCAGGGGTGTCAAAGATACAGCCCACAGAGCTGTATCCTCTGGCCCTGGGGTTCTAGCCCATGCGGAGCCCCACAGTCCAGGTCTGGCATGGGTGACCAATGGAATTTAACACCTCTGCTGTAAAACAACATGCAAGAAATTATTTTGCTTGCATTTGAAGAAGTCAAATCTGAATTTGATTTGAAAATGAAATGATCCATCGAGAATCTGTAGCTAACAGGATGTAACACAAAAAAATTAAATAGTTAAGATTAATTTTTAGAAAAAGCAGGTGCACACAAATTAATTTTCCAGTATGGGAATTAATTTTACAGTCTCTTACAATAGTGTCAGGATATGAACTCATATTTTCTTAGTCCACTGTATAAATATGTACAGCTAACATATCCTAAATATAGCACTCACATGTTTGACTGGCTATACCAGCTCCAAAGCCAGAATTTATCTGAGGCCATGAAAATTTCAAAAGGTTAACAACATGCACTTCATGGACAAAACTTTGTGGCGCAAGATTCTGCCCACACAGAGCACCTCGTAGGATCACGGTTTGAATGTGTACTTGCACATCAAGAAAGCCAGAGAAGTTCAAATGTAAGCATCCCTTAAATAACTGCATTTGATTTCTGGCTGAGACTGCTGCACCTCTAAGGATACTAAATTTAATGTTCATTTCATGTAACTTTTAAAGAATGGGAATTGATATTTCTTTCCCAAGCTTACCTTCCTTTTGGAAAGAGAAAATTCTGTTTCACATAATTTGCAATGTGTTGCTTCTTTATCTTTCAGCCAAACTTGCCCCTGGAGTTGGGAGAAAACAAGTTTTTAGATATCAATTAGAGATGAGAATACATGATACAAGCCAACTTTGCATTGCAGTGGATAAGAGTCCTCAAGATAAGCACAATTTATTATTTATGTGATTGTGCCTTGTGACCCTAATAGATGTTGGTGCCACATTATGATAGACACTGCCAGAACAAATTGTAAGAGAAAGAAATTGCTCCAAAAGACCTTGCACTGTCTAAATTTGCAAGATAGACAAAGGGAATGAAAGAGGAGAGAAGCAGTGACTTTTTAAGACTGCAAAGATTGCTAGAAACAGGGCTGGGAACAGGAGAGAGAGCTCCCAGACCCATTCCAGCAGACCATCACATCCTTTAGACAGGTAAGAAGGATAACAGCATTAAGCAGCTTCAATTTCTTTTTGGTCAAATGAACGATGAATATGTCCTCGCTCAGCCTCAAAAGGGGACAAGTGTAATCTTTCTGAGAGCATTTCACCCAAGTGGTTGTGTTATCATAATAATTATTTATATTGTAGCAGTGTTTAGGAGCCCCAGGTCAAGGAGCAGAACTGCTATACAAAGAAAATGTTGCTCTCCACAGGGTTGCCAACTGTCCATAAATTTATGGACAGTCCTTAAAAACAAAAAAAACAAACAAACAAACAAAAAAAAAAAACCAACAACAACTGCAGCCTAAAAATGCTTATCTGTGATGTTTGTAAGAAAAGTTGAGCTATCCATAAAAAGCAAAGAAACACTGAGCTCAGTTCAAGATCCCTGTTGGAATGAGGCTAGATTCAAATGTTGATGCTGGGCAGAGCAGAGTATCATTACCTGGTGTCTAAGTGGGAGCACTGCTCAGAGCCCTAAGCACTGAGCAGTGTGCTCAGAGCCCTGTCTGTCAGGGCTCAGAGCCCTGTCTGTCAGGGCTTTCTGGCCCACTGGAGCATCTGTAGTTCTTTCTACCCTGAGCATCTGTAGTTCCTTCTACCCTCCCACCCTGACAGAGACAAAGCTGCGGGGTTGGAGGGACAGAGGGAAGAGGTGGCAGTGGGATCTGTGCTAGGACAGGGAGAACAGGATCAGGCTGAGGGTGCGGCATGGCTCAGGGTACAGTCAGGCGAGTCAGTAGGACCCTGGGGGTAGGAGGGCAGCACAGTGTAAAAGCACTGCTGCAGTCATGCAGGGTTGCCAACCTAAGACTTCTTCTTTTTTCTTTACTAAAAGTAAAAGCATGTCGGCAAAAAGTTTGGTTGGTAGTAAAGTTTGAAAACTGTCAGTAAACAAAAAAAAGTTTGGGTTTGGCAACTCTGGATCTCCACCACAAAAAGCTTCAGTGGTAAACCCATTATGGCTTCCCACTTCTAAAACTAAGAAGCTCCAGGAATGTTTCACTAGGTTTATTTATAAAAATGTTTATATTACTCCTATTATAATTAAATCCATATTGATCACAGACCACAAAATAAATTTAATAATAATACTGCTTAAAACTAAATAATCTGCACAAAATTTTAATTCGATTTTTAACATGATTTTAAACTAAGAAAATGATTTCATATAACAATATACCCTTTTGACCAAAAAAGACCTAGCATACCTTTTGGTAGCAAGTTACAAATAAAAATCAAGGGGCTATAGCAACATCCCATACAAAAATCAATCAGAAGCAACTGTACACCTCTGTCTCTCACTGGAGGCTAAGAACATACAAATTACAATCTATCATATGCCCTCATTTTTGGAGAAAAATCTACTGTTGTGCATTTTAAAAGAGAAATAAAAAACAGCCTTTATATGCCCCATATCTTACTAACCTGCAATGCTTTGTTGGCTTCTTTTATATCTTCTATTTTAAGCTTGGCTCTAAAGAGATTACAAGATTATACATACATTAGATATTTATTGGGCACAGTTAACTGCAGCACATTGTTGACACACTTAAAAGAACTGCAACCTTTAAGAACTTTAAAGGCACATTCTGATTAACCTCTAGTTGATAAGTTATGTTGTGGGAAGAGTCAGAAAGCCCAATCAAGACCAAGGCCCTGTTCTGCCCCACACCTTACACAAACAGAATCTTTCCCCAAAGGCATTGTGATCTTTTTAAATGATGGCAATACGTTTAGGACTTGTCAGGACCAGGGAAATTTGAACAAATATCACTACATATACATGGAAGTCTCGTAGCTGACATACAACACATGTAGAAACTGAGGTCTGGAACTACAAGACTTAAATCTCACTAGTGCAGGCACTGTTTTAAACAGTTGCAGACCATCTATACAGTGAACAGTGACACTGGTCCAATACCACTGGGTGCATCTACACATGCCATTGATTAAGGCGATGTGACAAACTCTGGCACAGTTTGCACTGGAGTTTATCACAGCACCTTAATGACATGTAGATGCTCAAACTGCTATGGTCCAGGGCGTGCATGCAGATGCTATGCTCAGGACCATGGCAGTTTGAGCCAGGGTGGAGCAGCCTCAGGCTGGCAGGGGACTCAGACGGGTCAGCCCCAGGTTGCAGGTGCCGGCAACAGGATGGCTGAGGCCTGAGGGTGCTAAAATGCAGGGATAGACAACTGGTAACCCCTGCACTTTTGCACCCTCATGCCCCAGCCAGCCCCAGTCACTGTCCACGTCTGCTTTGGTGCAGTAACTGTGCCATAAGGTAGTACTGTCCCTGACAGAACTATCTTAGGGTGCAGTTAATTAATCTACTGCACCCTAATACTGTAGATGGTGATGCTTTACTGCAGAGCTAATTAGTCAACTCTGCAGTAAGGCGCACATGTATATGCACTCATTAGTACAAATGGGATTAAAGACTATGAAACTACTCTGCTTGTATAACATGTAAGAGAAAGATCTCCTTAAAAGAGTAAACGGAAAAAACTCAGAGATGGCACAAGGACAATTTGTGGCACATCTATCAAAAAGGTTAGCCTCCTCTGCCTTAGGTGATGGTAAATATGTTAAGTGTGCTGGCAGAGCTGGACCTAACTAGGAACATTTGTACAGAGTAGGGGTCAGCAACATTTTTTGGCCGAAGCACTATAAACATCCCAAGTTTGACCCATGCCCTCAACTTGGCATGCCAGAGGCAGATGGCAGAGGAGCTGCAAGGGGCCCAATCCTCACTGCTGGCAGCAGGTTCATGTGCACCTCTCGGCAAACAGTAGGGAAGGGACTGGGGTTGCACTGCCCCAGCTCCTTTCCTGCCACATGCTCCGAGGTGGGTGTGCAACCGTTGCCATCGCAGAGCCAGTGTCAGGACTCTAGACATCAGTGCAGCTATTTGCACCCTCTCTGCTGCCTCCTGCAGCTGCCCAGAGCCTGAGCTGGCTGTGGCAGGCAGCAAGGAGGCTGCAAACAGCTGTACCAGGCTCCAGCCAGGCTCCGTGACAGTGACAGCTGCACGTGCACCTCAGGGCGCATGGCCAGTAAGGGGCCCAGGGCAGCACAACACCTCCCCTGCCATCTACCCCAAGGCATATGTGCAGCTGCCACAGAGCCAGGTGGAGCCTGGTGCAGCTATTTGCACGCTGCCAGCAGACTGCTGGCCTGGGCTCTGGTCAACTGCAGCAGGCAGCTGGGAGGCTGCAAACAGCTGCACCAGGGTCCGGAGCCCTGGCACCGATTCTGTGGTGGCAGCAGCTAAATGCATGCCTTGGGGTGCATGACAGGCAAAGGGCTGGGGTTGCACTGCCCCCAGCCTTCTCAGCCGTATTCCCCGAAGCACATGTGCAGCTGCCACCACAAAGCCTATTCATGGCTCCAGAGCCCAGTACTACTGTTTGCAGCCTCTTGGCTGCCTGCCGCATCCAGCCTGGACTCTGGGCAACAGCTGCCTGCCATAGAGCCTGGGCTGCTTGCAGCAGGGCTTGCAGCCTCCTCGCCATTTGCTGCAAGCAGTCTGGGGTCCATGGCTGGCAGCAGCTGCCCAGAGCCCGGCCCAGCTGTGACATGCCAAGCAAAATGGCCTTGCGTGCCATACTCTGGCACACATGCTGCTGGTTGCTGACCCTTGGTATAGAGCTTCATTCAAAACAAGTTAGATAGCACAGTCCGACTTTATATATTCAAGCGGTAGTTGCACAGTTGTGTTTCTTAACTGTATCTTAATTTAAAATTACAAAAATCACAAGAAAAAACAAGTTACTCGCTAAGCTTGTAGGCAAGTTCTTGGAGGGCTGCTTCTTTAAAAGAGAAATAAAAAACAGCCTTTATATGCCCCATATCTTACTAACCTGCAATGCTTTGTTGGCTTCTTTTATATCTTCTATTTTAAGCTTGGCTCTAAAGAGATTACAAGATTATACATACATTAGATATTTATTGGGCACAGTTAACTGCAGCACATTGTTGACACACTTAAAAGAACTGCAACCTTTAAGAACTTTAAAGGCACATTCTGATTAACCTCTAGTTGATAAGTTATGTTGTGGGAAGAGTCAGAAAGCCCAATCAAGACCAAGGCCCTGTTCTGCCCCACACCTTACACAAACAGAATCTTTCCCCAAAGGCATTGTGATCTTTTTAAATGATGGCAATACGTTTAGGACTTGTCAGGACCAGGGAAATTTGAACAAATATCACTACATATACATGGAAGTCTCGTAGCTGACATACAACACATGTAGAAACTGAGGTCTGGAACTACAAGACTTAAATCTCACTAGTGCAGGCACTGTTTTAAACAGTTGCAGACCATCTATACAGTGAACAGTGACACTGGTCCAATACCACTGGGTGCATCTACACATGCCATTGATTAAGGCGATGTGACAAACTCTGGCACAGTTTGCACTGGAGTTTATCACAGCACCTTAATGACATGTAGATGCTCAAACTGCTATGGTCCAGGGCGTGCATGCAGATGCTATGCTCAGGACCATGGCAGTTTGAGCCAGGGTGGAGCAGCCTCAGGCTGGCAGGGGACTCAGACGGGTCAGCCCCAGGTTGCAGGTGCCGGCAACAGGATGGCTGAGGCCTGAGGGTGCTAAAATGCAGGGATAGACAACTGGTAACCCCTGCACTTTTGCACCCTCATGCCCCAGCCAGCCCCAGTCACTGTCCACGTCTGCTTTGGTGCAGTAACTGTGCCATAAGGTAGTACTGTCCCTGACAGAACTATCTTAGGGTGCAGTTAATTAATCTACTGCACCCTAATACTGTAGATGGTGATGCTTTACTGCAGAGCTAATTAGTCAACTCTGCAGTAAGGCGCACATGTATATGCACTCATTAGTACAAATGGGATTAAAGACTATGAAACTACTCTGCTTGTATAACATGTAAGAGAAAGATCTCCTTAAAAGAGTAAACGGAAAAAACTCAGAGATGGCACAAGGACAATTTGTGGCACATCTATCAAAAAGGTTAGCCTCCTCTGCCTTAGGTGATGGTAAATATGTTAAGTGTGCTGGCAGAGCTGGACCTAACTAGGAACATTTGTACAGAGTAGGGGTCAGCAACATTTTTTGGCCGAAGCACTATAAACATCCCAAGTTTGACCCATGCCCTCAACTTGGCATGCCAGAGGCAGATGGCAGAGGAGCTGCAAGGGGCCCAATCCTCACTGCTGGCAGCAGGTTCATGTGCACCTCTCGGCAAACAGTAGGGAAGGGACTGGGGTTGCACTGCCCCAGCTCCTTTCCTGCCACATGCTCCGAGGTGGGTGTGCAACCGTTGCCATCGCAGAGCCAGTGTCAGGACTCTAGACATCAGTGCAGCTATTTGCACCCTCTCTGCTGCCTCCTGCAGCTGCCCAGAGCCTGAGCTGGCTGTGGCAGGCAGCAAGGAGGCTGCAAACAGCTGTACCAGGCTCCAGCCAGGCTCCGTGACAGTGACAGCTGCACGTGCACCTCAGGGCGCATGGCCAGTAAGGGGCCCAGGGCAGCACAACACCTCCCCTGCCATCTACCCCAAGGCATATGTGCAGCTGCCACAGAGCCAGGTGGAGCCTGGTGCAGCTATTTGCACGCTGCCAGCAGACTGCTGGCCTGGGCTCTGGTCAACTGCAGCAGGCAGCTGGGAGGCTGCAAACAGCTGCACCAGGGTCCGGAGCCCTGGCACCGATTCTGTGGTGGCAGCAGCTAAATGCATGCCTTGGGGTGCATGACAGGCAAAGGGCTGGGGTTGCACTGCCCCCAGCCTTCTCAGCCGTATTCCCCGAAGCACATGTGCAGCTGCCACCACAAAGCCTATTCATGGCTCCAGAGCCCAGTACTACTGTTTGCAGCCTCTTGGCTGCCTGCCGCATCCAGCCTGGACTCTGGGCAACAGCTGCCTGCCATAGAGCCTGGGCTGCTTGCAGCAGGGCTTGCAGCCTCCTCGCCATTTGCTGCAAGCAGTCTGGGGTCCATGGCTGGCAGCAGCTGCCCAGAGCCCGGCCCAGCTGTGACATGCCAAGCAAAATGGCCTTGCGTGCCATACTCTGGCACACATGCTGCTGGTTGCTGACCCTTGGTATAGAGCTTCATTCAAAACAAGTTAGATAGCACAGTCCGACTTTATATATTCAAGCGGTAGTTGCACAGTTGTGTTTCTTAACTGTATCTTAATTTAAAATTACAAAAATCACAAGAAAAAACAAGTTACTCGCTAAGCTTGTAGGCAAGTTCTTGGAGGGCTGCTTCTTGATCCTGACATAACTTTTTCAACTGTCGGTTTTTGTCCTGTAGTTCAAGGAATTCCTTTAAAAATTAAAAGAGTTTTTAAGAAAAAACAAAAAGGAGAAACAACATCATACTTACTACTTAGAAAGGTGCTGTTAAGTGTTTGGAACATACAATCTCCTACTGAATTTCAAGTCAGAAAGGATGATGGAAGGAGTGAGTCAGTATTAGTATTCAGTAATTAGTATTAACATTTTGATTTACTCACAAAACCAAACCCATCAAGAAACCATATGATAGTAGAGAGAGGCAGTGCTTATTTCTCCAAAGGTGTTTTGACTCTGTTCCTGAGCAGGCATTGTTGTGATACTACAACTATATTTTGCGCAACTCTTGAATCAACGCTTTATTGCAAAAATGTCCAAGGTCCACTGAAGTCAATAGGAAGACTCCTATTGATCTAAGTGGGGCTTTTTGATCAGCCCCAAATTAACAAACAAAAAATGTACCAGAAAAACACCTTTCTTGTAGTTCTCCAAGATGTCAGAAAAGTAGAATTGGTGGGATATTAAGGTAGAACAAAAGGACAAGAAATACAGGGTTAAAGCAGACTGTTGGCTGTCAACCTTATTGCTGGATAACTTGTACATGAATCTATGACTGCAATTCATCAGGCATCATGTGATGAAGTCAGTTTGGACTCATGAAAGCTTATGCATCTCTGAGTTAGTCAATCTATAGGGTGCATCTCTACCCTGCCTTCTGCAAGTCCTGTAACATTCACATTCATCTATCTCCCTGACTGTTTTCACCTCACCTTCCTTGCAACAGACGATAAAATCCTGTAAAGTAGCTGAAAGTCTTTTTCTTGCCCTTAGGTGGCTCTCATCTTAGCTGTTTCTTCTTGCCTAAGGTCTTGCACTTAGGTGGCTCTCATCTTAGCTGTTTCAGAGGGAAACCACAACTACTTGGAATGTATGAACTGGAGGTTATCATAAGGAGTAGTAAATACACACTTTCTTTCAAATATATACAGAATTTACTATTTAATAAAGCTAGGGGACTTTTTTTTTTTTTAATGGAACTAAACTTGCAAATCCTGCTACTTAAAAATGTCCCTGTTTCTCTGATTATGAACTAGCTAAGAAATCTTAATTAATCACTACAATAACCACTGAATAGTTTTCTTCTGTAGATTAGTTACAGGTGGTAATTTGAAACCAACCAATATTAATTAGCTGGCTTACTGTAGATCCCTAAAAACATTTTTAAAATGTGTAATATTCCAAACAGTACTACTCTCATTCCATTCTCAATTCCTTAAAAATTGAGCATCTCCCCTTACTGAAGACTGATTCTTCCTTTTCTAAGGCTCCTTTTCTAAAATTCAAAGAAAGAATATAGAAATCAAAAAGACCTAAACACCTGGAATTATCCAAAACAATTCTGAATCTGTAGCAAGAGTCTGATTTTTTTTAAGTTATATTTACCAAAAATAAATTGTGAAAGGAGATTAGGATATATGGCAATGCTTCATATTGATTATATTAACCATTTAACACCACAGCACAAATATTAAGGTAACTGCTCCCAACTTAGCCAATTTAAAACCAAACTCAGGCAGCTGTCTTTGCAGAAAGAGGCCACTGTGTGGAAAGCATGTCACAGTATATATATATCTATTCAAGTTAGGAAATAACAGCCTATCAGGAACCTGTGGCTGATAGCAAGTAGTAAATACAAACACACACAGTAAAATGAGGCCACTTAAGTATATATGGAAAGCAGAAAGTTACACTGTCTGGGACTATTACAAAAAGGGTGGCACGTATAAAAGAAAGAAAGGAAGAGGCCATGCTTGAACACTACAATAATGTGCATAGTACAGGGGTGCTGTGAGGCCAGAAAACGCCCCCTTCTCCACAGGGGCTGGGCAACGCCCTTTTTCCCCTTATGGAGCCAGGCCCCTTTTCACCGAGGGGTTGGACCATGCCCCACTCCCTCCCTGAAGGGCCAGGTCAGGTCCCTTTCCCTCCTACCCCCTTGCCTGCCTGTGGAGGCCAGGTGAACCCCCTTACCCCCTTGTGGGACCAGGCTCAGGCAGAGCTGCCCCCCGCCTCCCCCACTCCCTACCCACATAGCCAAATGGTAGCTGCTGTGCTAGCCCTGGGTGCTGGATCAGAACCACCATCAGGCCTGCAGTCAGCCCAGGCACTGCCTTGCCCGCTGGGAAAAAAGGTTGAGCACTACTGGCATAGTGCATCAACTTGAATAAAACATAGATAGAGTACTCTCAAAGCTTTAGTACAACTGGCAGAAGAATAAACCAGGAGGAAGATAGAAAGATGATACAGGACACTAAGGAACCAGCTAACAAACAGAGCAGAGAACTAACTGGCTTGGCCTCTAGAGACTGCCACACTAAAAGACAAGGAGCAAGGCACAAACAAGTAACACAAAGTGAAAGCATCTGCATCTCAGATCTACATTAAAGTATATCAGGTGTAGTCTCCCACCTAGGCACATTTTATATCAGTTACCACTGATTTGCTTTGCTTTGGTTTCTTGACTGCCTAACTTTTTTCTTTTAGATATTTTTGTCTTACTTCTTTACCTACTTCAGCTGCTTCCTAAAAGATCATGACCTCTATTTAGGGGCTAATCAATTCCTGACATATGAATGAATATCAGATATTCAGATTCAAGATACCGGCCAGAAAACTGTCACAACGTATTAGTTGCACTATGGAAGGAGCCTGGGGAAAATGTGGTAGCCATATATGACAGGAAAACACTACCTATTTTTAATGAAGAATCAGAAACTAATATTTTTTTTCCTTTATTTTAAAATGCATTCCCTCCCCTTTCCCCAAACATTTCTGACTTTTTCTCTCCCTCTCTATTCCCTATAGATAAGTATAAGTGAGCTCAGACTTAGGATAAGCTTTAAAACATTTTTATTTTGGTAGCAAGTTTTTGGTTTTGGATATCCACCGTTTTATATTGTATTGTTAGTAGGTTTGTATTGATTTTTACTGCTGTATATTGTATTATTACCATTTTTGTATTGATTTTTATTGTTTCATATGGATATTGTATGGTTTAGGCCTGTGTTTGTAAATGAACCAAAGTCATGTCAAGTTTCCATTTTGTGTGTCAGGTCTTCATCTTCTGTCCTCTGCCTGGGCATCCCATGTTGCAACTGTATCAGTCACATACCCCTACCATGTAAATTGGTTCCCCGATGAATGAGTGTGATTGGGAATGACTGAAATACAATGGTAGCAGGCCTCTACTGAATGGCCTGTAATGACTGGGCCATCACCTCGCATTGATTCACCCAGGAACCACGGACCTCACCCAGGAACAGAGACAAGACCAGCATTTGAAAGAAAACAGCAACTCTCACCATTACAGAAACCCAAAACTGCACATCCCTGCATGAAGCACACATGCTCAGTACGCCAGGGGTTGACCCTTACCTAGGCATGCCTCCTGTCACTAGGGTCACACAAGGTCTGCCCCTATAAAAAGGGCCAGTGAAGACAGACCCAGTGGGAACACCATTTCCATCTGGACCAACACCATGCCACACTACCTATTCACCCAGAGGCCCTGCCAGCGACCCCCCTCTGGACAACACCTACTGGACAAGGACCCCTTCCAGACTGGATAGGTAGATATTACCTGCACACCTCCTCCTACAATTTGGACTCTCTCTCTCTGTCTCCTCCTGGACTTCAGTGGACTTCAGCCCCTGCACCAAGCCTCTTTAACCCCTGCTGCCATTTTGTGCGTGTGTGTGTGTGGGTGGGTGGGTGGGTAGGGGTGGGGGTGTGTGCAAGGGAACCAATTTGGCATTGTGTCACCATCTCCTCTGTTCAATAAAACCACTGTCATTTGCAACCCCAAGTTGGGTCATGTTTTACTGAATCCCAGTCCCTTCCCCATCTTAAATTCCAGCCTCATTCTCTCTCTCTCTTTCTCAGCTCCAGTTCCCACCCTCTCTGCTAGTTTCCCAATCTCCTCCCAAATCCATCTCCCCTTTTCTGTCACCTCTCAGCCTCTTCTTGCTTTCCTGCTGTCCCTGCTGCCTGCTGCTTTTCCTGTGATTTTCTGTTGTCCGTCTCTCTGTTTTCAGGCTTCCCCCCCCGCACGGTTCTAATCCCGGTCCCAGTGACTTTCATTTCCAGTAACTTTAACTCCCTACACTTCTACTTTCTTACCTTCTCTCCCCAGGTATCCCAAGTACACCAAACACATGCATACATACATATCACAACACCCAACTTAGGAACTCACCTGTGTGTATGTGTAGGTGGGTGGTATGTGTGTGAATTAGTGAATACACATATATATACACATAAATAGATATCAGAGTGTGTGTGTGTGTTGGGGGGGGTATATGAATTAGTAATCCACGTATGTGTATTGGATGTGCAGGTGTTGGTAACTGGTAACTGATTCTGTCTAAATCTGCTGTGTGTAGCGTGTATGGGCTTAAACTGACAATAGGTGTGCATGAACCTAGACTGGTTATTTTGAACGTGTGTGTATCCGAGTTGCTAGTGTAA